CCCCCCCCCCCCAATAATCTCGCGCGTAACTGATAATAATTGCTACTTACAACGTTCGCGTACTATTTTATTAATAGTTAAAATGAAATCTTGTAAGATAAATTGAATAAGTACAAATGACTAGTTTTCATAATGCTATCAATGCTGAAGAAACGATATGTATGAGATCAGTCTCTAGATAATATACATATGTGACTGTAAAAATGAAAAAAGATAAAGATTATCGTATCTATTGAATTATCTATTGTTTTCTAATCCAATGTTTCGATAATTTTTACAGCTAAAAAATTCTACCAAATGTCCAAGTTGGACAAATTGTAAATGTGAAATATTAAATAAAAAAAAATAAAAAAAAATCTGATAATTTTTAGATTCCTCTACAAGAAAAATGAAGAACTCGGCGCAGAATATTCTATTTCGATTTTAATGTGCTCTATTGTGTTGTGTTTCTTGAACTAAATGAAAATTATTATTCGCATGAAACATAGAAAATGGAGTAGATCTAATAATCTCCAACTGTTGTATTACATCGAGCATTGTTACAATGAAACGAAAAACCTTTTTCTATTTATTATTATCGATCATTTCTGTATCATTGTACTAGCATTTGTAATCTTTCAAATTGCTAATTATTAATTCCGATACTCGTCGATTCGATTTTACTTGAGAGATTCGAACTACGATCTAAGAGACAACGTTGCTTATGGAATTACTTAATGGTTTACTGCGGTTTAATTTATTTCGAAGTCACTTTAATATTCTTCCTGGACGATCCATAAAACAATCACTTTAGACAGAACGCAAGACGTGCAATTATTCGACAAAGAAAATGTAAAATCGCGAAATGTAAAAACAATCGCAGTTTTACCAACACCGGTTGCCACGCTATGCTTGAAATGCAATTGTGTTGCACGAGATTACTGTCTGTAGGTTCGAGGAAATAATTTGGCCTCGAAGGTCGAATCAGGTGAATACTTACGCGCATTCAAGGCGACGTTTTTCCTCTTACTTTCGCCATTTGCGTAAGCCGTTGATATCGCGATTTTGTTACGGCGTAATTCCTCTATAATGATCATATCTCTCTATCAACATATACATCAACCTCCATATTAACGATTACGCGTATTTTCAACGACGTAGTTAAAAGTTTCGCGAATTCGCCATGTACACGATATTTGCGTCAATGTACGGACTTACGACGTTCAAAGGTTGGAAAATTTCTCTCAGCGCGTGGCAGTAAATAAGTAGCATAATTGTTTAATAAATTGACATTTATCAATGCCGAGGGATTGCAACGAATACTAAAACATTGCTATTGAAATTATAATAAAATACTTGATAAAATATTCGGATGTATTTAAGCCACTGTGTCAGATATTAATAATTACTGTAATCATTACAATTAATAAAAATACTTATTGTAATTTATAACATACTATTGGAAATTTATCTGCATTTTACGTTTTACATATCGTATATCTTACATACGTATACGTATATTACATACATATACTATATAACGTCGATCAGGAAGGAGTACTTTTATAATACATTTTGATTCTTTGTGATTTACAATGTGAAAATTGTTTCTACTTTTCACCAATAATGGGGAAATAAATTATTTAAATACCAATTATACCGCTCGATTACCACTAATAAATCAACAGGCAAATTGTTTTCCATGTTTTCTCACTGATTATTACATCTCCTCGACGAGTTTCTAACCCGATTACCTTCGAATGATGGCAATCGCGTGTAATCACAAGATTTGCCTTTAAATCTTATACAACCGGCGCGACGCTTCGTCCAATACTCTTTATTACTTCTATTCATGCTTGATTCCAGATAATACGAATAATGGAGCGCGCCCTATGATCGTCTATCGATCGATTTAAACTGTCAACATTCGTTCGGCCAACGAGTAATTATTCTTAATGCCACTTATATGGTCTTAAATTTCTCAAATTATACCATATTTACATGAATTATCACACATATAAGATGGATCAAGAAAAAATAAATTAATTGTTTTCTATAGAGTTCTTGAAGACATCTATTCCGATTTTCTTGTAAACTAACGAATGGAGCAAGGGAAATAATTTTAAATATTTTTAACAGTGAATAAATAATTTTCAACCTAAAACACGGTTACAATTATAGTCTTGAAAAAGACAGGTTTAGTTATAACACGGTAATTGCAAAGAGTAAAAAAAAGAACGTTTCACGTAAATGTTATTAATCCTTGGTGTATAAATTATTTAATCGTCAGTTGTCTGATTTTTTCTACCTATTACATGAAAAATAATTTCAGATAACTTACACGAGTATGATATGTAGGTAATTTACTAATTACGTATAATAGAATCTTGTCAGAATTATTTACGAACGAAACGAAACTTACATTGCTGTGCGATGAAATTTTCAACACGTGTATAACTGACACGAATCTACGAACCGTATTGTTTAAATTTTCGTTACAAGCTTAGATTTCAATTATTCTCAAACATGATCTTTACTGTTTTCTTCTTGCAACCAATCTCAATTTTTCCAAATCTTTTTCACACATCATCCAATAAACTAATCCTTTTAACTGCTCAGAAAAATTCAATTTTAAGAAAGTTATTTTGTTTTAAAGGATATTGGAATATTAACGTGGCCGTCTGTATATGAACAAATTCACGTGTGTATAATTAAATGGTTTAGGATGAAACGGACGATCTCGAGGAAGGAATCACCACGAAAGCGCTCTAATCCTTGCAGGCGATCGAAACGTTAACTCTTGCGAAGGGGGCGAGAATTTAATTACTTAATGAAGCTAGTGGAACGGTCGTTCAACCGAAACTATTAATCACCAACTGCCTG